AATCGTAGTGTTAAGATTGTAAATTTAGATTGAACATTACGTAGATATTTAAGAAAATAGTCTACGAGGCCTTCACTTTTGTAAATATTAGACGAGATGTATGGAAGGGAATAATCTTTTAGATCACTCGTTTCACTTTTATGTAATTGCAATGTGATTATTAATTTTATATCGTTATTCGTAGTACAATCTTAGACTTATAGAACTCAACTATTAAATTTTCTAAAATCGACAGTGAAATTACAACTTTAAAATTAAAATTAACTCGTCAATCCGAGTTAGGTTTATTTTTAATGAGATATAACTGTTTACGAAGATTTGAACCTCTGTCATAAAAAAAAAAAAAGTGTTTAGATCTCGTTCCAGGCTCAAACCCTATCAAGCAGGCCCCATATAAAGTGTTCCTCCCCAAATCCTTGATTGTTAGTCATGTCATTTACAGCACAATTAGTTCAAATTACAGTTGTCTTCTTTTTTGTTTATTCAAAATAATGTGTTTAAGATTTATAAATTTTGACTATGCTTGGTATTTGGTAGGCAAGTAGGCAACTGACTTGATTTGTTAGAAATGGTTGACATTTTTTAAAAATCTTATAGCTACTTTTTGCCAATGATTCAAAAATGCTGGCCCATTCCAAAACCAACCATCTAGAAAAAAATTGGTAACTTTTTAATTTTATGGCATATAAAATCTCCAAGGAGTTTTATTTTATTTATTTTTAAAAATAATTTTATGATATAAAATCCGTCTCTAATATGTCACGCACCTTATATTGGATTATTATTATGTAAAAAATAAAATAAAAATGATGTGTTTACTTTAAATTATTGTCTATGGCTTAGAGTAGAGAACTGTAGCTCATAGTTTTCGCCAAAATGCAAGTGATGTTGAACTCCCGAGTTCGACCCTAGTGCACTGGTTAGTAGCCCTAATGCAGTGTACGAACACCCACATACTAGTTATTAGCTCTAATGCAGCGTACGAATGTTCGTGCATTGGTTAGTAGCTATAACGTAAGGTATGAAGTTGGGGGTGAATTGTTGAAGGTCTATTTTGGGTTGTATGAAGGAGCATTTGATCCAAGTATCTGCAAGGGCATTGGGGAAGGGTGTCGTAAAAGAATATCCCGTACGTAGAACAAGCACATCAACAAAACGCCCAAACAGGAAACGTCCAAGGCTTCAAAACCTCAAGTAATAAATATTATAATTTACATATAAATAATAATGCCCTCTTCCAACTTGCCTTTAATAATATATATTGGTTGGGCTTAAAAACTGCCAACACCCAAACGACGACTTATCTAATCCCCCCTTCCTCATTTTATATTATAAATTTAGGAAAAACGACGTAGTATGTGGTCCGTGCTGAATGACAAAATCTTAATTCTTTTCTTTATATTATGACAAATACCCCCTCACATTATCTTCAACATTTTGTCGGTTATCTTTACTGAATTTTATAATATATAGTTTTTATTAAAATGGAATTTGAGTTATTTCTCTACAAAATTTCCCTGTTTCCGAGGAGGGTAAATTCCATTTAAATTTAATCGCTTGTCAGAATGTTATAACTTATTGGGCCCTTTGTTATTGGGCCGAGCCATTAGTATTCGTGATGGAGCCCATATGTTTGCGAGCCCAACCAAATAAATTGGAAAATAAAATAAAATAGATTATAAAAATGTAAAAAAAATAAAGGAAAAAAAAAAGGAGGGGAAAGCTTCTGGGTTAGGGAATCCTGAATCAGAGAACCCGCCCAACCCTACATAGAAAGAGAAAGAGAGGGAAGATTAATGTATAGAAGACGAAGGCGATAACGGCTAACGGCTAACGGCTAACGGCGAATTCAGGGACATCAAATGGCGCTGCCGGCGTCAATTCCGCTGCGCTTCTTATCTCCCACGTCCAGGGTAAAAAACTTGTTTATCGACTGGCTTGATTTATGGTGAATTACCAAATGAACTGATTGAGCTCGATAATTTACTTGCCTTAGTTTCTTTTAGGCATTTCAGGACTCAAAGAAGCCAAGTGTGTGCGAATTTCTTTATATCTTCATCTAGGTTTATTGGTATAATCGTATTGCTCGTAGGCTAATTGTGATTGAATGCTGGAGAAAGAGGTTTGTCTCATTTGTTACGCTTTGAACCTACTGGATACCAGTTGCTTAAGGGAATGGACTGATTCCCCTACAAAAATTTCAAGGGAAAATGTTGATGAGATTCTGAGGAATAAGAAGTGGGGAATTGCTGGGGGTTTAAAGTAGTTAATTTATGTAGTTTTGGTTTCGAAAATAGTATACTACTGATTTTGACTTTGATTTTGATTTTGATTTAGTTCATTAATTTAGTAGACTTGCTAGTTTCTTGAGATTTTTCTTGTTCTGGTGTCACACTTTGGGTTGTGTTTGGCAACTTTTGCTATTACGGATGCTTATGCATTGGACTAATTAACTTTACTTTTACTCGTATGCTCAAGTGTTTGGGTTGGTTAATGATTTAACATGGTTTTAGATGTGAGATCCCACGTCGGTTGGGGAGAAGAATGAAACATTCTTTATCAGCTTGTGGAAACCTCTCCCTAGCAGACGCGTTTTAAAAATCTTGAGAGGAAGCTTGAAAGGGAAAGTCCAAAGAAGACAATATCTACTAGTGGTAGGCTTGGGCGGTTACATTAGAGTAGGAACTCCTAAGTTTGAACCTGTAATGTCACTTATTGGGTCTTCGATTAATTTCCAAGCCCATGAGGGGAGAGTTTTAAAAGCACAAAACTAATTGAATTTACTGTACCTCATCAACCTAAGTTTCTAAGTTGATTGGTGATTTGACGGAATGAGATTTTGAATATTTTGCTCACTTTGAGATACATTTACCCCTTGTCTTATGACCCTTGATCCAACATAGGCTTGAGAATGTATGTGCCTATTTCTGCAGATTAGACTGCTCAAGGAGAAACCATCGTTCGGGCCTAATAGCTGCTTGCCACTGCTTGGCAGTCGCCGAGCTACCATTGCTTGTTCAATGAAAGCAAAAATGGCTGGGTTTATGGATTCTAATTCTATGCCCATACAAATTGAAAATTTGAAAGAGAAGATGCAAGAGGTCATGCCTGAACCAGTTAAAACTTTTCCATGGAAGGATGCAGAGAAGATACTGGTGGAGAGACTGCTTTTTATGGGAAAGGAGACAGTGAAGTGGTCTGTTCTCTTGTTCTTTGGTGTTAGCTCCTTATCAGATTTTGTAGCATCCATAGTAAAAAACCAGGAGTTATTGATTCCCATTGGTCTCTTTGCTGGTGTCTTGTTGACTAACCTTTTAAAAGAGATATCTCAAGAAGTGTTTGGCAACTCTGAGGTACATTCTTTTTTTTTTTACTTTATTCCATATACTTGAAATCTTCTTCATCCTACAAGTAATAGAAAATCAACCATTCTATAGGACTCAAGTTTCAAGAAGCAACTTTACGGTCTCGGTTCCTTCTTCGTTCTCGTGAAGCTAATTACTTATGGCCTCACAATTCAAGTACAGACATTTCCTCTGCATGTAGCAAATGGTGGGTTAATGCAAGTTTTGTGGCTGTGGAAAAATTTGTCAAGAGAAAGAAATGGACTGAATGAACAGAGCCCTTCTGTTGGTCAAGGTACGTCTTAAGCATGGACGAATTAGATTGTTTCGAGTGTGTCTATATTTGCTACCATGAAGAATCTGGTCGTCGTGTAATGATGGAAACCATAATATGATGAGATGTATGTGAACCTTTTTCATCATTTAGAGAAACATTATGAGTAGGTTTTATGTTTCTTTGAGTTCAACGAAACGTGGGCGGAGGGATTTGAACTCTTGACCTCTGGGTCGAAGACATATTGAACTAGTGAGTTATGCTCAAATTTGCATGTATGAGTAGATTGTACGGATGAAATTTTTGCTCTGAGACGTAATTCTGGCTCGGTATTGTGTATCGGCTTCATAATGAGCAATGTTTGGTGGCGTCCTTTCGCCTTGCCTCTTTTTGTCAACTTTCATCCTAAATTGTGATTCTTTCACAAAATTTCGTTCTCCTGCAGAGTTGCATGAGTTTCTGTAGAAAGGCACTGCAGTGATTCGATTAGTGAAAGAATACTATGGAAGAATTTCCTTAGTTGTTTTTGTTCCATGTGGTAGATTTTAAAAATACTTTTGAGATATAGAGCATAGGGATAACAAATTAATACTGCTAAATTTGTTTTTAAAGAATTAAAACGAATTTATTATTATATCAAATTTATTTTTGAGAAATTATTTTGTAGTCAATTAAAGGGAAAAAAGCTTCTTCTTTTTTTTTTTTTTTTTTTTTTT